ATATAAAATTTAAATGGAGGGTTTGACCATTAATTTTTAGGTTTTTTATAAATTTTAAATTATAAAGAGTATTGATTGAGAGTGAAAATTATGATGGGCATCGATTACAAAAAAAAAAAAATAATGTGTAGTGTACAAATAGAGTATTTAACCTAAAATAAATGGATAATGCTAATACTAAGGTTAAAATAAAAAATATATATTTATTTACATTAAAATATAAAAAAATAATTAATTTGAGACTAACTGAAAATTAAAAAATGATAATATTTTTAGAATGTAGAGAATAAAATTGAAAAAATAAATATTAACTTTTATTTAAGAATAGCTAATTAAAATAATATATATGACATTGTTGATGAAATTAATAATTATTTTTTATTTTTAATATTAATTAATATAAAATTAATATAATAATTATATTCTTAATATGTATCTTTTTATTTTTTTTGAACATTGAGGAAATTCTTAATATGTATCTTAAAAATACAAATCATAAAAACCTTATATTTTATAGTATGATGTAATCGCATGAGACAAAATGCCTTCTTGTATTTTCTATGAAAATTTTAACTTCTTTCTCTATTTTCTAAGTTATTAATCTGGCAACCATTCACGGTTCATTGACTTTCTCAAAAAAATGTTACTATCGTCTTTTATTATAAGAATAATAATTAAGATAACTAATAGTATCTTATAGAGCAATGTGAAGTCCTAAAATTTGGTGGGGTTATCCTAAACCACCAATATTTGAAGTCCGCGTTGTGCTAAAACTTCTCTGAGTCAAAAACTATGACTCTCAAACTTCTTTGGTTTTCGGTTTTTTTTAGAATTTCAGTTTTGTTTCTTACATCTTTCATACTGGTTTCCACTTGGTACCATTAATTTTTTTTTCTCTCTCGATTTTCAGCTTAAATTTAGATTAGATCTGAAAATGAAGTGAACACGGACAGATTACAGGCACATACCTGTATGCTCTGCTAGTGCTTGGGGGTCAGGGAGAATTTCATGCTTTCTGTGCAAATGCAGAACATCCATAGCAGGCCAATTCGTTGACAAAATCTCAACCCCAAGACACAAAAAGGAAAAAGAAAAAAATGAAGAGATTATGGAGGGTACAAGTGCTGCAACACGGCATCTTTACTTTGTTTCTGCGGCTCCTAGTCCTCCCTTGGACACAAGCCAATGATGATGTGCTCATGTTGATGGCTTTCAAGAAATTCTCTGTTACCTCAGATCGTCATGCTGTCTTGGTTAACTGGACTGATACTTCTTCCAGCCCCTGTTCCTGGCATGGAGTCACTTGCTCTC